AGCCACAGCCATACTCTCACATCCACACTCTAGTTTTCGGAGTCCTTTACGGTTTGAAAGAACTACGATCTGGACTTCAGCGAAGTTGGAATTGAGTTCTGAAGTCCATTGTAGATCTGAGGAAGAGACACAGACGGATTTCTGTTTAATAGGTTCACAATTCTGAACATTAGACTAACGTGAAGATATTTTCTTTGCTAAAATGAACCTAGACATGGACTGGAATTACGAACATTCTAGTATATGACGTTCTGAAAAGGTCTTTGACTAGACTGATCATCTTGCTCAACATATCCTAAGATGTTTTTCCGTCTATAATTATGACTAGCGTGGCACTAATATCATTGCACTGTGCGGAGCATTTAGCGCTTGATAAGTTTTTATTACTAGCGAGAACCTGTGCATACTGCACGGCAGCGTTTTATTCTTTAACGTGCGACCTCAAAACTTTAACCTTTCACTCGGTAACAGACACAGAGATACTCAGCATTATTTAAATAGAAGTCCTACACCATGATATCTTTATATCGCTAACACTCCATGTAGCCTTACGGTCTTGTAGCGTTATATTTCTTGTGGCTCGTCTAGCCTTACGCGCTTATAATCTTACCACTCGTAGCCTAACTCCCTCAGAGCGTTCTCCACTTATAGCGTTCCTCCGTTATAGCCTTACCCCTTATTGCCTTACTGCCTTATACCTTAACAACCTTATCCCTTTACTGATTTTCTCTTAAAGCCTTACCCTCTTATGATCTGTCTCCCTTAAACCCTTACCTCTTATAGTCTTACCCCTTGATAAGATTATCCCCTTATGGCCTTATTCGACCTTTAACCTTTGTCCTTTGGTTCGACACAAGCACACAGATACGTACTGAACAGTATATATATAGATTACATAAAGATCATTCAACAACGGCTTCATTGCAGTGAATGCGAGACACGAATAATGATACGTATATGAACTGTTAAGTCTCAAACCAGCGCTATTGTTTTTACAAATCCCAAATCTCAAGTATAGGTACAATCCTGAGTCCAAATTTCAAGGATTTGGTCACACATCCCAAATGTATTCAAGATTTGTTGCACCCCTACCCTCGATGAACAGTTGGCAACAAATTATTTCGAACGAATTAGAAAGATTGAACAAACATTCGAAGAAGCGGATCGTTTTGTTGAGGAAAATATTGAATCGGATTTAGTAGAAGACAGCACCACGGAAGATGAACATGAAGATGATTACGAAAACGAAAATGACGATGAATGACACTATTTGTCTTTTAATTAGATTTTTCCAAACATGATATTTCATAAGAAGAAAGCAGATAGAATAGACAACTTAAACAGAGAAGTGACTTGAAGAACGTAGCGAATCTCACTACCAACTGTCAACAAATGAAGCCGAGAGTAATAAACAGACTTCGCACAAAAGCGGACGTCAACTTTAGGCGAAATTCATTTCGAAGATTCGTCTTATTGAAAAATATTCCGAAACAAGTGTGGTACGAAACTCCATCTAAACAACGCCATGATGTTCGGCGTGTTTGATAACCTATGTATGGAGTATTTTTGGCACTACTGCCTGACTTCGGAATGGAATCGGTACTTTTACGAAGAATGCTTATAATTTTTGAGCCGTATGAGATGGAGATCTGCGGCTACTCTAGAATTGTAGATCTTGAGCTGAGCTATCGATCTGACTATTTGAAAATAAAACTCAGCGTACTATTAGGAAACAAGAACATCGTGGAGATTGCAGAAAAATATATACTATGTAAAATTTTATATGTAGGTCTGATATTTGGTACTACTAAGTGCATTGCTATGCTCTATCGAACGATAAAAATCGTAAATCTCTATAACGTTTCCTTCAAAAGTTATAGGCATTTGTTCGGACCGCCTTATTTTCAAAAATGGATACTACTACGTTTCTGGTTTAATTGGAATTAGTAATATCTATTCTTGGACATCGAGACGTTACGATCTAAAGATCTAGCCAATACAAATTGGTTTGATCCTAATTAGACCGCTTCGAGAGAGTGCATTCTTAAACATCAATTAATTTCTCAACGTGTTCTCGAAGAAGAACTAATCGAAGAATAACCTAGAATAAAAGAGCATGAATATAACTCAAATGTGCGATAAAGTTCTAAACTATTGATTCTTATAGAGAACACGTTATATAAATGAGAACTATTCATTGATGAGAAGAAAAATAATTATCTTCGGCTCTTATCATACGAGCTAAGAGTTACAGAAAAACTATATCTAACAATCTTATAATCTGATGTGTAAAAGTCATCGCATTTTTCATAGAACAGTTTCGATCAATTTTATACTAATATTAATATTCAACAAAATTTTTCTTCAATAATATTCGCCTATTTTTATGCATTTTGAATAATATTTGAATGTCATTCTTCATTTTCAATAATTCTTGACCCCACCAAAGCAATACTGGTATAACCGGGTTTTTTAAAAACTAATCTTAAGATCTAATTTCTTCTGTTTTTCAAAAACTTTACTCTGCAAAAGTATTTCGCGAAATGCATTCACACTTGTTAAAAGTGAACCTATTAATGCAAAAAAGAAACAAACATTTTATATCTTAATCATGGCATAAAGACAGATGGTTTTTTTAGTTAATCTCCATGAGCCATAAATAATCTAGAGAAAAATTTAAATTTTCTCCAAAAGATTTTAGACAAATAACGATCATTGTTAATAAATCTCTATATGATACTTACCAAATGGATATAATATGGAGTTTTTAACATGTTTTTGTAGTTCTCGTAACTTTTTAGTTAACAGGAAAAAATACTTTCATTAACAGAAATCATTTTATCAATTTATTTAACTTTAACATCACATTGAGTTACAGTACCACCGATCAATTGCAATTTACCAGTGATATTATCGAAATTGGCGATATCTGTAAAAACAAAAAAAAAAAGGAAAGAGTGACGACATGGGATGCTATTGTATTTCTCAAATACCCGTCATGAATAGACATCTGTCGAACATAACATATATAGGTCAAAGCTATTAAAAAAATGAAGGTTGATGATTCACTAGATAGATTTTTCTTGATTTTTTTCTTTCTTGAGATTTTGTCTTTTTGAGTCTTTCATATTGATCAATAAGGTTTCTAAAATGAAAACAAAACCCTTATACTGTTAGCTTTTCATTTTCTATCTTTTGCACATAGATATTTACTTTTAATGTTTATTTTTTAACTTCACTTTATCTGTTCTCTTTCTATTTCTACTAAACAATGTATCTATATGTTGTATTGAAGGTAAGTCAATAGTTTATTTTATCAAAATAGAAAGTTGTTTAAAAGTATACCCAACAATGTCAATAAATGATACCGAGTTATCATCAACGTCAGTTTTTCAATCAGATGTTTGGCTATTTAGTATTTATACAATTGCTACATTTGAATTCGTTTTTTGGTTATGTAATAGTTTTTTAATTTGTATTGAATTATTTGATTTTCCATCTATTGATAAATATCGTATACAGAAACGTAAGAAAAAATTACGTTTTCAACCTCATATTACACAATTAATTATAAAACAAACAATTCGTCATCAAATATCAATTATTCTTCTTACACCATTACTTTATTATATTATAAATTATTTCGGTCATCTCGATATACGAGGACCTCGACCATCATGGTTGACAATAATTTATCAACTTGTTCTTTTCATTCTTTCAGAAGATGCTATCTTCTTTTGGACACATTATTTATTGCATACACCATGGTTATATAAAAATGTACATAAAAAACATCATATTTTTAAACAACCCACAGGTGTAGTTTCTGTTTTAAGTGATCCTATTGAAGGTTTACAAAATCAATTAGCTGTTTGGTTTATGCCTGCTCTATTGAAAGAAAAACACATGTTTACATTATGCATTTGGATTGCTATACGAGTTTATCAAACAGTTAATGCACATTCAGGTTATAATTTACCCTATGTTAGTACACAATATTGGTTACCATGGATTATGTCTGGCGCTTTAGCACATGATTTTCATCATGAACATGGTAAATGGAATTATGGATCATTTTTTAACATTTGGGATCGATTGATGGGTACACATCGACTTTCGACAACTACTAAACGAACTAATTGATAAGAAAAATAATGTATCAAGTAGCCTTCAATAGTTTATTGAAGACATATGAGAAAAGAAGAATGAAAGAAAGAAAGAAAAAATGAAAAAGATCTACTAGCATATGATCAACTATTTGAGAAATGCTTGATTGATGAGAATTTGAATGTGCACATATACACAAGCTTGTATTAACATTTAATCATTTATCGTACTATAGATATGTGCTCTTCTTTCTCACTGGAATTCTCATGTATGTGTAAAATATTAAAGAAGCAAAATGTCTACTCGAGCACATATACATATAGAAGAGGCGGTAAATGCAATGATGGTAGTATTTACCCGACTCTTATCGCTATTGTTGTTGCTATTGATGTCGCGTATCAATCGCAACGGAAAATGGCAAAGAATGAATTTTCGTATTCCTTTGCTCTCCTTCCTTTTTTTTTCTTCGTTTTACTCTTACCAGTCTTCAAACATGAGTTACATACACAAAAAAGAAGAAATTATGTTTTTGGACAGCAAAAATAGTTTGTTCTCGTTGGTAAGTAAAAGAAAAATAATCAAAAAACGAAATTATTACATATATATTTACTTGACATAATGATCGTCTATTTTCAATCTAATCCTCTCGTATTCTTGCGAATCAATTTCATTTATTTCTTATTCACCTAGTGGCACTCTAGAGAATCATATTCGATGATTCATTCATATATATCAAATGCTCATCAATTTTTTGCTAAAAAAATCGTTTTATTGCTGACTCAGATAGATTGAAAAATATTTTTAAGCATGATTTTATTAATTCAAATTTTCTAGATATATATATATATATATTCCCATTTAAAAATCTATTTCAAACTATTTTCTTTATCAAAATGTCATTTACAAATTATCGAAATACAAATACAAATCGATCACAAAATACAAACGATGAGACTTCAAAAGATCTTAAGTCTAATATTCGTGAAAGTCGTTGGATTCAACCTGAACAATGGCAATCACCTGAAATTCAAGAAAAATTTGATAAGGTAAAAAATATTATTTTTCAAAAAAAGTAAAACAAATTTTTCATAGTTTTTTTCTATTATTTTATAGGGTTCCATTGATTTCTCTGAAGTACATAGTTTACTTCAACAATTAGGTATTAAAGTTCAAAAATTTGAATTAAACAGAATTCTTGAAAAACATGATCGAAATAAAGATCAACAATTGAATAAAGAAGAATTTGAAGATGTAAAAAGAAAAAAAAATACTAAAGAATAATTCTTTTTAATCAATAGTCTATTTTAAATATTTATAGCTCTATTTAAAATTACGTGCTGAAAAAGATCCTGGTAGTACATGGAGTCGAACAGTTAAATCAACAGCTGGTAGTATCGATCGATTTGTTACTACACGACGTGATACAACAGATGATACAGATTCAACATCATCAGCTGTTGAACAACAACAAGAAGCATCAGGTCCATACCATAGTGTATTAGTTGAAGAACGTGTGTGGACATCTAATTGGCTTAATCAGTATGTATTGATTAATATTCAATTGATAAATATTATTCTTATATTTTTCTATAGACTTCTTGCCGATGATGTTCATTTAAATTTACGTGCTAATCCTATTGACTCAACTGATCCCCAAGCACTTTACAAACGATGTCAAGACGGCATATTACTTTGGTATGTATTTTCGATTCTTTGCGTAAAACAAATTGATTAATTTGATTATATAACATTTACCATTCTATTTTTGATAAACAAAACAGATTAGATGAAAAATGTGAAATTTAGTTATTTGACCTGAATTCTAGAAAGACATATCACAAATACAAAATGAAATTTTTTTCTTTTTCAGTAAATTAATCAATATTGCTGTACCTAAAACAATTGATGAACGAGCTATAAATTTAAATTATTCAAAACAAGATATTTTTCGTCAAAGTGAAAATTTAGAACTTGGTAAGACAAAGAAAAAAAAAGCAGAAATGATTATCTTATTTTTTATTTTTTTTATTTCTTTCTTTTTAATAAGCAATCAATTCTGCTCGTGGTATTGGTTGTAAAGTAGTTAATATTCATCCAGAAAATATTTCTAAAGCTGTACCTCATCTTGTCATGGGTCTTCTTTGGCAAATAATACGAGTAAATATTTAAAAATAATCCAAATTATTATTTAAAAAAATATATTCTTTAATTAGATCCAATTAACCAGTGAAATTAATTTAAAACATGTCCCTGGCCTTGTATTACTCTTACGTGATGGTGAAACACCTGAAGATTTATTAAAATTATCACCTGAAGAATTATTATTACGTTGGTTTAATTATCAACTTAAACGTTCACAATATAGTGGTAAACCAATATCGAATTTTAGTAATGATATTAAAGTAAAGTTTTTTCTTGTTTGTTGTTTTTTTTTAGTTCTCGAAAATTTTCTATTTAGAATTCTGAAGCATATACATATCTACTTAATGTTATTGCCCCAGCTAATACAAAACCTCCAGTAGGACTTAATCCATTAAAGGTAAAAATAAAAATCAAATAAAAACAAAAAATTTTTATCAATTAGATTTTTATTCAAACTCTTTAGTAAAATAAAAATAAATCGGTAATTTCGAATAAATCCGCATAAAAAGTTTTACAGCATGAAATTCAAATTTGTTTTTTTTGTTTTGATCCCGTGTGGCTTTGATTTTTCGAAAATAGCAAATAAATAAATATAAATATGTGTATATATATATATTGTTATGATATAGGAAGATGATTTACGTCGTCGAGCTGAGCTTATGTTAAAAGAAGCGGATAAAATTAAAGCACGAGCACATATAACACCTGAAGATGTTGTTAAAGGAAATCCAAGACTCAATTTTGCGTATGTTAATTTTCAAAAAATGAAATCATTTAATATAAAATAATTCTTTTATAGTTTTGTAGCAAATTTATTTAATACATATCCAACATTAGATCTTCCAACTGAACAAGTACCAGAGCCAGGTGTTATTATTGAAGAAACTCGAGAAGAAAAAACTTATCGAAATTTTATTAATAGTCTTGGTATTGAACCACATGTGAATTATCTTTATTCTGATCTTTGTGATGGTTTAATTATTCTTCAAGTAATATTTAATTTCTTTTCATTTTAATTTAAAGAAAAAAGAAATTTGAATTTTTTTAGCTTTATGATATAATTCGTCCGAATACAGTTGATTGGTCAAAAATATATAAAACATTTAATGCAATTAAAGAACGTTTTCAAAAATTAAGTAAATATCTTTGAAAATGTTTTAGTCTTAAATTGATTTTTTTTTATTGTTTTTAGATAATTGTAATTTTGCTGTTGATTATGCAGTAGAACCACTTCATTTTAAAATAACAGGTATTGGTGGTCCAGATATACTGGAAGGCAATAAAACATTAACACTTGGTCTTGTTTGGCAAATAATGCGCGCATATACATTATCAATTCTACAAAAATTAGCAAAATCAACAACACCTATTGCTGATAAAGATATTATTAATTGGGCAAATCAAAAAGTAAAATCGAAATTTTTTTCTTGTCTTTGCAAACAAATTTTCAAATATATTTATATTTTAGTTAAAAAATGCAAATAAAAAAACAGTGTTAACAAATTTTCATGATCAAGCATTAAGTGATTCAATGCTTATTTGTGATTTAATTGATGCAATTAAACCAGGTTCAATTCAATATAATTTATTAAAAACATCTGGAACACCAGAAGTATATTAATTAAAATTTTTTTATTTAAATTCTTATCATCTGTTTTTTTTTTGTTAATAAATTTTAGGCTAAAATGGATAATGCTTTATATGCTATATCAATGGCACGAAAAATTGGTGCACGTATTTATGCATTACCAGATGATATTGTTGAAACGAAACAAAAAATGCTTTTAACAGTTTTTGCTTGTCTTATGGCAAGTGATATGAACGTAGTAAAAAGTTAATTTGTCATTTTATGAAAAACATTTTCTTTTCTTTCATTCATCCATCTATTTTTTATGCTGTCTCAAACGAAGGATTCTTTTCTTTTTTTGTTTTTTTTTAAAATACTTTTATTCTTATTACTATTCTGATCATTTTTATTATTATTATTATTATTATTATGATTATTATTATTGTTTTTGTGAGGTGTGTATATAAAAGAGGAAATCGAATTTTCTTTTTTGCTTTTAGAATTAAATTGACTAAACACAAGCCAGCTTTATATTCTAACATTTTGGATAACCTTTTCCTTTCTTTTTTTTTTTTATTATCATACAAGCTATTATAAAATACCGTGAAAAACAAAATAAATAAATATCAGAACGAAGAAAAATATATTGACAACGTTTTCTTTTTCATATTTTACTCGTCAAAATATAATGATAATATTATACTCGTTAGGTAAGGTGTATACCTTGATGTCATGATTATATCTTGTTTATTTCATATTTTTGATCATAGATGATATAATATAGGAGTAATGAGCGACGACATACAATATTGGCATGCAACAGATGGAGAAGTAACTGTATCAACAGAACGTTTTAAGCATGGTACATCAAGTTTGAAATGGGAATGGTCATCACCATCATCAGCATTGACTTATACCAATCCTGAAGCTTTTCGTTCGATAAAATGGGCAACTAATGTATGTTTTGCTTTTTGGCTTTTCAATAATCAACAATCAAAAGTCGATGAAAATGCTCCTCAACAACCACTATATGTAGAATTTTTAACTGCAACATCTAGTGAACCAATTGCACGTCTTTGGTATCATGTTAATTTCTATGGATGGCGTCCATTAGGTTTACGTTATGCTCTTTTATCTAAATTTAAAAATAATTTAAATCGTATACATGGTATTCGTTTTTGTCCACCAACAAATACTCCTAATGGTGTTTATTTTATAAATGGTATTACATTTGATTATAAACATACAATTGGACCACAAGATGATTATCAACAACCATGGGCAACACCTGAAAATATAAAACGATTAAATGATGATCCATCTAAATGGTTATTTAATACAAATAATTTTTTTTATAATCGATCATGGTTAGAAGAACAACAAGTACATCCATCTGATGATGATGTTAATAAATTAAAAGATCGATGGCTTGAAAGTTTACCATATGGAACATGGTAATACATTTTTAATATTCTTATTTTTAAAAGAAAAAAACAAGCCCTTTTTTTAACATTTTTATTTTCTATAGGTCTCCAAGTACAAAACCAGAACCATTTAGTAAATTACAAAAATTAGCAGAAACATATGGAATTAAACCGAATACAATTTCAAATGTACCATTAGGTAAAGGTGGATTTTATTCACCAACAAATGCATTAGATATTCAACCATTCCTATTGGGTCCATTAAAACGAACTGCAACAACATATCAATGTTATCGATATAATCGTAGTTTTGAAAGTGCAGAAGGTCAAAATGTATGGACATTATTACTTCAATTATGTGATTATTTATTAGAACAAGGATGGGCTGAAGGAAATGGAAATATGGAAGGAAATTTAGATATTGGTAAGAGAAAACAAAAAGATTAACTAATCTTTTTATATTTAAAAAAATACTAATGAACTATTTAAGGATATGAAATACGAAATTTTCCAATGTGTCTTACATATATTCGTAATGAATTAGATGAAGTTGATCGTTTACAATCAATGCTTACATCAGCTATATGGATTATGTATGGTCATTTACTTACTGAACAACAAACATCAACAATGAATACAGATATTATTCATAATTATCTTACAAATGTTGTACGTGAGATTTAAACTATTGTTTAATCTTTCATTAATTGTTTTTTTCTAAATAAATAAATAAATAAATAAATATTAATTTTTTTTAGTCTCGTCTTATTGTTTGTTTGTCAGATCAAAATGAAATTATTCGACGTATCATTGCATTGCGATATACATTGAGTTACTGTTTTGAAAATCGTATTCATGAACCACTTGCTTTAGGTAAATGAATAATTCTATTAATTCTTTTTTTAAATTGTTTTAAATTTATAGATGGAACTGTACATCATCATTGGATGTGTCATTATGAATATGCTTCTTATGCATTACCTGATATAGTGAAATTTGTATCATCTATGAATGATACTGAATTTCGTTTTTCGGATAATATTCGTCGTATTCTTCGACGTTGTATTTATACTCTAGATTGTTGTCTTATTGAAAATGAAAAAATACCACCAAATCTCAATGCTCGAGCTGGTAAGAAAATCATATTTTGTGGAATGAAAAAGAAAAATAATAATAAATTTTCTACTTTAGGAGATTTTGTTACATGTAATGGTCTTAATATGACTAAAAAATGCGTATGTATTTGTAATCAAGGTCAACCTTATGATCCATTTTTTGCTGGATTACTTGTTACCATGTGTCCAAAAAATGATAAAAGTGTTATGACATATCTTAATGAGTAAGTAGATAGATTTTAATCTATATTCATCTTAAATTTGAATTTATTCGATTTATTATATAAACGTTAGAATGAGATTTATTACATATTGAATATCATAAAGTGAATGGAATATTGTCTAAGCTTTCTCTAGTGACAAGTCTAAGATTTCAATGAAGAAAGAGTACTTTGTCAGAGAAGATCATAATAATAAAAAAATCTGTTTTTAAAATCCATTCGATGTACCACAAGTTTGTTTTCTTCTTGTTTATGTTGGAAAAAATTAAATAACCTGTTTAAAGAAGGCCAATCCTCCCTCCACATTTCAGTAAATTAAAATATTTTTTTTCTGATTTATACTTTCAATTTTAAAATGTTTTAAGTTAATTTTTTATTCCTTTAACTATTTAGTGGTATCGAACCAGTTCCACTTGAAGGTCATTTGACTCTCAATTCAACAGCTGCTTGTGTTCATCGACGTTCAAATTTTTATGCAAGTATTGTTGGTATGGGTAAAAATCGACGTGGTCTTGAAATATATGGTAAAATAGACAAATTCTTGATTAAATCATTACAAATAAACCTTTTATTTTTCATCTAGGTTGGTTAGAAGATGCAAATAATTATGGTGAATATGTTCGTAATTGTTCTATATTTATTGCACCAGCTGATGAACAAGGTGTAATCGAATATTCTAATGCTGGTTGTGTTTATCCAGGTTGGCAATGGTCACATTGGTTAGTTTGAAATATTTTTGTAAAGTATATCTTTTCTTTTTTTTATTTTTTCAATGAATATTATAGGCCTGGTACAACATGTTTACTTAAACCACGTTCAGAATTATTTGAAGGTTATTGTAATTTAACAGCAAAAAATTGGTTAGCTGGTGGTACATCAATATTAGGTCGAGATGGAATGTTTAGTAATGATTTCTTTGTTTGGGATGTTGCATTTCGTCGTTCAATGTATTGTTTTGATAATCGTATTACAGTTTTAACAACAAATATAAAATTATTACAACGAGCAAAACGACCTGTTATAACAACATTATTTCAATCAAATTTTTCTAATTTAGAAAACTTTGAACATACATCATTTATATTAAATAATGATGAAAAAATAAGTGAATTTCCATATGAAAAAATCTTTGAAAATAATGATTTAGATGTCATAACTGATCATCGAAATATAACATATTATTTACATTCAAATGAAAATTCAAATCAATCATATCGTATTACGTTAAAACGTTCTGAACAAGAAATGATTTATGTTAATCAATATTTTTTAATTGATCCAAAACAAAATCCAATAATTGATATAAAAACAAAAAAATTTCGAGAACCAAATTATGCAGATAATGAAAAATATTTTAAAACTACAAAAGATAAATATGGTCTTGGATATATTGAACATTTAAATGTTGATGATGGTACAGCTTCATTTGTTTATACAATTCTTATTGGACATGAACAATTAAATGAATGGATAGAAGAATTTTCACATTCATCAAGAGATCCTTGGTCATCACCAGATTTAAGTGATTTACCACCTTCACTTATTTTATCGAAAAGTGATGATACACATATTTTTTATGATCGAGCTACTGATACAACATGTTATACATGTTATTCAAAAGATCGTTTAGAAGTTAATATTGGTCTTGTTCAATCATTTGGACAACCATGCATGGCAATGGTACGTGGTCGTGGACCAGGTGCAATTACAATTAGTATTGCAACAACTGATTTTACGCTCAATACACCAATGTGGATGGTGCTCAAAGGTAAATGGACTGGTGCTGAATTAATGTGTGATGATGAAAATGGTTGTGTTTATGTAAGAACAGAATTGATCGATGATGGTAATACAAAAGTAACTGTTTGGCAACGAATCTATATGCCTGTTGAATTTCAAATAACTCAATCATATGATTAGATTTTAGTGAACAGAATCTCATTTAATTCTAGAGCTTTTTTTATATTTAATATTTTTTACATTAGAAATTTTCTTTTTAATAATTATTTATTCTTTAATAAATATATAATTGTTTTTATGGAGATTTTATTTTAATTAAAAATATAAAATAAATTCGTATAGAATAAATTTAGATATGTTTCTTCGATCATCGTCATCATTGAGAATAATCAAATCATTTCCTTCTTATTTTCATTCATCAACATTGATTCGATCATGCTCTGTCTTTAGTAATTCTAATAATAATTCACAAATTTTATCGTCTTCATTAAGTCTATCACAATTTCAACGAACATTTATGTTTTGGCGTGCTAACATCGAACGAGAATTATATGGAACACCAACTAAAGCATTAGCAACAAAGAAACGTCGACGTCTTCAAAAAAGTCTTACACAAATTATTCGTGATGGTCAATTAATGCGTTTATTAAAAGAAACTCTTTTACCTGAATGGAATAAATGGTGGAAAGAAGTACAACCATGGGATAGAAGGTATTCAAATCAAGGATGTTTCATAAGTATCTGCTCCATTTTTTTAAGATCTTTTCCATATTTACAGGTGAATGAACATTGACGATACATTTTTTGAAGAGTAGCATTTGAGCTATCATCCAAGAGAAATGGCACTTAATTTGCATGAACTTTTAAAAAATGTTGCATTAGTGAAAATTTTATCAAGTTTCTTTTCTATCTTTAATATTAATATTTTTTTTTAAATGGAAGACATTATAATGGAAATTTGTATCGAAAATTTCAAAGTATCACCAGTCAATTAATCTGATCGTTATTTCTTATATGTTAAGATAAGAATATAATTATAGTTTAAAAATAATAGTAAATTGCTCGTTCACTACAAGCTACTTTTGTTGTTCCGTTGCTGAAACATGCTAACCATTTCAGAGAAAATTTGAAGCTTCATTTTTCTCGTGTCAAAAAAAATTCGATTAAAACTTTTCAGATCGTGGTGATGTTCAGTAAGTCCTAATGAGCCACTGTGATTCGTTTCGTGTCAATCCTCCATGCATATAATTCCTTGTGATAAACATCGATTAAACATATAGTCTCTAAACTTTTGTTCCTCCAGTTCGAGTATGACACTATTTTGCTGTTATCCCCTATATGTACGCGAAAATAGGTTTCATCTTACTTGAATAATGTATAACAATAATAGAACAACAAAAGTGACTCACAGTGAGTGAATAACTGCTATTTTTCCTAACCTTGACAGGGAAAATTTTTAAAAAAATTGGTAAGTTTTTTTCCATATTTCTACTAATGTCATCAATGTCTATTCACCTTTAAATATGGCAAAGATCATAAAAAAAAATAAAAATGGTGCTGATACTTATGAAACACCCTGCTACACACATATATGGTGTTGACAATTTCAAAATTTGAGTAAATTTGTTTTTTTGACGTTCTTATGTCATGGTTGGATAGAGCTCATCGAGTTTTCTATAAAAACGTTGTTTTTCATATACAAAATTATTCATACTTTTTGAAAAGTATTGTTCAGCTGTTCAGAAAATCAATTTCTTCGATATGATAGAAAAACGTCATAAATACTGGTTTGTATTGAAAGATTTTAATTATCAGGACGTCAGTCCCAAATGAAACGAACATCATATTCAATATCAGCACAAACAAATTTCTACGCGAATTGTTTACTTAATACTTACAATTAACTTTCGTCAAATTTCGGTCGTTATACCTTTTTACTGTTATTTTCGCATACTCTGACTTGTGCTTCCCTAAAGTCAAAATTTGACGAGAATTAGTTTTAATTATTGAGTATAAAATTCGATGTATGTTTGTGTGCTAAATCTAAGTATGATATTCGTTTCATTTGAAACTGAAAAAAATTTGGATAATTATTGAGACTACCGAGACTTGATGCTTCAGGTACATCTCAGTTTCTATATGCTTTTATGATTTCTTTTACCTACATTTTTCTAAATTTCACTACACAAACATCGTTCGCAACTGTAAAAAAAAACAACGTTTTTAGAAGTAACTCGACGAGCTCTATCCAACTGTGACATAAGAACGTCAAAAAAAAAATAAATTGTTCAAATTTCGATATTGCTGACACGTTATATATGTTTAATAATAAAAAAAATTGGTTGTTTATTCTTAGACATGAATTTTTTCATAATGATTATATGGTAATACATGATTTTGCTAATAATGAAGAAATTAAAAAATGGACTGTACGAACAGATCTTGACGAAGGTGTTGGTGAATCAACAGCTGAACTTGTACCAAGTGGACATGGTTCAGTTCTATTTCGTGGTCATATATCATCGAAAATGGTTAATCAAAATACATTATATAATCAAAGTGGTTTTGCTATTATGTTTTCTGAACGTTTACGAGGAACATTTCTTATGCCAGCTCATCAAAAAGGTTGGACTAATTTTACTCATATTCTTTTACGTATTCGAGGTGATGGACGATTTTATGAAATACGATTTCATACGCCTGATCAAGATCGTCATCATTGGGTTAGTTAATAAAAAATTAAAAACAAAAAAAGAAAATCTTTTTTGAAACATTTGATATTTATTAATTTAGTCTGATATGTATTCAATGATTTTATATACACGTGGTGGTCCTTATTGGTCAATAGCTAAAATTCCATTTGCACAATTTTTTCGTAATAATATGGGACGTATTAGTGATAGACAATATGCTTTTCAACCACTTACATGTACACAAATGTCTATATCTATTATTGATGCTGCTGATGGACCATTTGAACTTGAAATAGCTGAAATTAGTCTCCTACGTGATTTACGTTATAATCATGATAAATTTGCTTATGAACAATATACACTTCCACCTTATACAACTGTTTAGTAAGTTGAAATTGAAATAATTAAAAATAAAAAAAAATAATCATTTTTCTTTTTGTGTTTTTTTAGTAATTGATCATTAATATGAATATGATTTTGTTTGTGTATGTTTTGTTAAAAGAAAAAAAAAAAGAAAGAACTGAGAAACATTCGTATGTCTATTTAAAAATTATTTGTAATATTTTTCATCTGTTGCATAGACATGTTTAGTTGATATTTTTTTTGTTGGTGCTTCACGAACCATACGACGATTAGTTGTAATTGTTGGAAGAGGTGATGTTGTTTCATATATTGGTTCGGAATGGAGTTTTTTTCTAACTAGCACATATTTTTTTGGTGATTCTTTTTCGGTTATTACTTCTCTTGGTATTATTCGTCGTCGTACAATTTCAACATATTGTGGTTGTTGTTTTTCATAGTTAGTATCAGTATCAACTGATATTTCATTAATATGTTTTTGAATTTTAAGTTTTCGTGGTAAATGTTTTGTATATTTATCTTTTTCATAAATAGTCTCATGATCATTGATTGTAGGTTTAATAATTACTTTTCGTAAAATTTTTGTCGGTTCATCATTAATATAAACATATTTACTTTTGTTTTTAATTAGATCATAATTGTTTGGTTGACGTGTTATTAAATGACCATCTGAAGTTTCATAATAAACTGTTCGAGGCTCATGACGACGATTTCTGAGTCGTCGACTGTCAACAATTGGTGGAGTTGGTGTTCGTTTATTTCGAATTATTTTGATAATATTATCATCTTCATCAAATATAATTTGCTCACCATCACTTGTATTGCGTATTTTTATTCCATGCTATGTAAAAAAAAAAAGAAAAAGAAAACAAACATTACATGACGGCTATCCTATTGTTTTTCTTTGATAGAGTATTTATAAAAATGAATTTAAAAAAAAAAGAAAAAGATGAAACAAAAATACATACATCATTAGATTCAGTTACATTTTGTTGTCGATCTTCAGACTCAAAATTATTTATTTTAACATGTTTAGTTCGTTGTTCTTCAATTGGTTTGGTTCGAACGATTCTTCTATTAGTTGTAACTAGTTGTACCTCATTATCATTATCATCATCATCATCATCATCGTAATAATAATAACGTGGTGTTATCTTTGGTTTTCGGTTTGGTATAAGAATATATTGAACATCTCGATTTGAACGATCTGTCATATTAAATTAATTCAAACAGATTACTAATAAAAAATATTAATTGTATGTACGATTACAATTGAATGCTATACAACACAGAAAGAAGAGTAGAATGAGTTTCTATGTAACACAATCTGTATTTATTTATTAGTAGCCAATGAAAAATTACAAAAAAAAATCAAAGAGTGATGACTTTTCTTTTTCTTATTGATGATCAGACACGTTCTATAATTAAAAAGTAATTCAAAGAAAAGGTTTCATCAAACAATGATTGTTTATTACTTTATTTAAAATTTAAATAAAATATGAGAAATAAAAACTACATCATTCGATCGGTCAACGCTTTTCCAGAAAAATAATATACAAAAAACAAGTTATGCTAGTATATTAATAAATATTAATATATTAACATTTATTTACTTGGTAAACAAATTGTTCTTGGATAACTATATCGTCCATCTTCTTGACATAGTATTTGTTTAAATAATGGAACATAATTATCACGACATAATGGTTCTAATTGACATATTGGTAATGCATAATACTTAAGAAGAACACCAGTATCGCGAGCAATTGATTGTTTGAATACACATGGTCGTTGATCTAATAATAATCGAAAACCAACGGAGTTTTGATCTTGTTGTGGATAACCATCACAAGTAACTGAAATATTCAAGAAAACAAAAACAATACAATAAAGCGCTCTTTTCTAGCGCAAAAAAAAACGAAACATTTTATCGAATCTATTCATTTTGTGTGTTCGTCTTCAGCATTTTTTTTTCTTTACTATTTCTTTTTCTCTTTATTTGAATCGATGTCAATTGAAGAGAGTCGTTGGTAAGAATCTTAATAAATAAAATAGATTAGATTTCTTCTTTTTGTATTTTTTTCATTTTCTTATATTTATTTTACACTAGTGGTTTTGATTCAAATAAATGTGTTGATTGGACAACAACTAGACGTAGTGGTTATAAACCAGGACCAAATGAATCGATTGATCCACAATATACAGCTACGCGAACTTTTAATGGTACAGGAAAAAGTTCAAAGAAGAATGATAAAATAAATAAATCGGAATCAAAGAAAAAATCAGCAATAAAAACAAACAAGACTTTGACATCATCAACACGTAGTGCTGTTTTGAATAAATCCAAATCAATGAAACGTAATATTAGTTCTAATATATCAATGACGAAAGCTAATACTGCACAATCACCTGTTTCGTAACAAACTACAGTTGTCTATGCTAAAACTTAATCAAAAACCCTTTCTCATTTATATATTAACTGATTCAATTAAAATTGAATAAATGCTTATTGAAACGATAATTAGATTTTTATAATTATAACATACCAGGACAGTTACTCCACATTTTGTTACGGTCGAAACTAGGAATAGTAAAAATTTTTTCTCAAAAGGATTAAATAAAACCTAGACTTACTTAGATGTTGTTGAACACCAACGAGCTGATTGTGGTCCACTGATACAATCTGAATAGACATTACCATTATAAATAAATGGAAAGTAACATGAATCATAATCTATAATTTTCCATTCAATAAAAAAAAACATATTAGCAGAAAAAATAAAGAGTCTTGCCTAAACAATATCCCCATAATCCATGTTTATCAAGATTGGATGTAACTGAACAAAATAATACAAACGATTTTGATGTCACTGTCGTTTCTGTACGATAAATACATGTTGAAAATGATGTGCCTTTATAAACAAATGGAAAGACACAATCACTTCCATTTCCTGTACCACCGATAGTTTTAACACGAGGTGCTAAAATAATATTTTGCAAAAAATGTTTATTAAAGATATAAATTATTATCATATGAATTGTTCATTTTATTTACCTCGACAATATTTCCATTGTCGATCTCGATCGAAATCAACTGTTAATGAACACCAACTATCATTGAGAATATCACTTATACATTTTTCATACCATTGACCAAGATAACGAAATGGAAAAACACAATTACTGGAGACTATTAATAAAAACAATAGTTAGAAAAATATCTTTTAAAAAATGTTATTTTTCTATTTACGTGGAATATTAGTTGTATTAAAATTTATTTGCGTTGTAAATGGAATATTTGAACTCATATTTCGTGTTGTTGATGTTTCATTAGACATTAATACACCAGATGTTGTTAATAGTAAAGAAAGAAAAGTCGTCCCATTGCTTGTTATTGTTGATGTCGATATTGTTTGAGTAGAAGCAGTAGTTTCTAGAAAACTAGATGAATAACTTGTTGTTTGACTTGTCATCGAAGATGAAATGGAACTGTCCGAGGATGACATACTCGTACGTATTAAAGTCAAAAATATTGTATTGAAAGTTGATGATGATGGATTTTCAGAACCTGTCATATCTTGTATGTTGGATGAATATCTTGAAGGTACATCACTAATACTATTTAATGAAGGCAATGATGTAGATATAGTTTGAGTTTCAAATGAACTTGATATGATTGGTGTAGGACTGGTTTGACTCATATAAGTATTTGAAATTAAAATAGTATTCATCGTATTTCGTTCATTGTCGATTGAAATCGAAGATAATGAACTAACAGTGTTTGTTAAAGTTTCACTAGGAATAGAAATGGCAACATTAGAGAGAGTGTTTGCTAATGTTGATGATGTAACTGAGCTTGATTGTATTGAGGATATTATTGTTGAAGTAGTTTCAAGTGGCATTGAACTAGTGATGGTAACAGTAGTCTCTAGTGATTCAGGTACTTGTTGAGAAGATGATATAGAGTTTATCGTATTTATATTCGTTGCAGATGTAGAATCTTTGCCACCAATATCAGGATTTGTATTCTGAATCGACGATATCAGTGAAGGTACACTAGATGAGAAAACAGTAGAATAGTCAGAAAATGATTGGCTAAAGCTAGTAGGTTCTGTGATAGATATTGGCATAGAAGTTACTGTCGGAAGTGATGATGTAGTAACTTCAGAATGACTCATAAGTGTAGTTAATAAAAGTAGCAAATTTGAAGTGCGCGAGTTAGTTGAATATTGATTTGGACTAGTAAGTTCTTGTGATGAAGTCACAAAGTTAGTTTCTGTCGACTCAATTGTGCTTTCTTCCGCAATATAATCATTGCTGTTTGAAAAAACTGTTGACTGCGACGATGATGAAGACATTAGCCTGGTAAGAAGCGACAACGTAGGCAATGGAGTCATAGCTGTTACTTGAACCGTTATACTGGAACTTTCAGCCGTATCAATGCCGTTGTTTATATAGATAGTTTCAGTAGGATTAGTTTCTGCTAATGTAGATAGTAGTGATTCAGTAGACATTGGTGGTTGTGTTGTCTCTTCCGTATTACTTGTTGGACTATTTGCAATGGTATCTAGTGATGCTGGTAATGATGAATCTTGATTTGGAGCAAATGAAGGTATTGAACTTGATATAGGAGTATTTGTTGTTTGTTCAATTGTAATAGTATGGGTGTCGACGATTCCTTCATTAGATGAAGTATCTTGTAATGTATTACTTGAAGATGAAGATAAACTTTCATTCTGAAGAAGCAATGATGATTGTGTTACCGGAAGATTGTTGGTAGTCTGTTCCCGTGTTATGGTAGAGGATATCATATGCTGTGAAGCAAAAGAACCGTCTACTTCATTGCTTTTTATGGTCGTTAGTAATATCGGTTCACTTTGGTTAGGAACACTAGCCGAAAGCTGTTCTGAGGGAAATGTATCGAGAGTATTCTGTACTGTAATGAAAGATGGTGTGGTGAACATTGAACTAGATAACATGTTTGTTTGTGTTTCATTGAATGAAGATGGCAAACTTTCATTTGGAGATATTGATGCTGGTACGATCGGTTCGAGAGTATTACCAGTCGATTCTGCTGTGTCTGTAGCTACGCCTATGGTCTCTGATATAGGAAGAATGTTTGTTGATGTAACATTTGCAGATGATGCCAAACTATCATTCAAAGGAAAAGATGACATTGATGTTGATGAAGGTATACTCCAAGACTCCTGTTCTGTAACAGATGATACTAGCATAGGTATCGAGTGATTAGAAGAATCTGTTTGAATATCAATAGAAGATGTTGAAACATTTTGATTCAGTTCCGTTGCAGAAGGTACTAATGACGTTATTTCAACGGCTTGAAGTGTTGTAAAAGGCATTTCTTCCATAGGGATCGAAGCCGGCGAAGCACTCATGTCACTAGTGTTTGAAATTAACGACATGGTTTCGCTTGAACCTATTGAAGAAACTTGAGAGAATTCAACAGTGGCGATTGTTCCCTCGACTGTGAATGAAGGTACTTCTGTAGATGACGAGGCAGAACCGAAAAATATTTCCGTGTTATTCATAGAAGACGACGTATTTGTGTTCGGAAGCGACGACGATATTGTGATAAAATCTAGAGTATTAGTAATATTCTCGTTTAAAACAATAGGTAGGTTAGTTGCCAACGAATCAGAAGGTGAACTGACTTGTGTACTATTCGAAAGTGCCACTAAGGTTTCATCTGAAACATTTGTCGATGTAGTCACCAGTGGCAAAGAATCTGCTGTGCCAAGCATTGTCGCAGATGATAAATCAGTCCATAATGAATCAACAGAAACTGCTTCTTCCGTAATAGCTGAAACTGCTATCAAACTTTCATTTGAAATATTTTCCAATGATGTGAGAGACGTAAGAGTAATAGGTGTTTGCTGGATTGTCTCAGCTGATAATTCAGTCACTAATGAATCGAGAGGCACAGTTCCTTGTGTAATATCCAAAACTTCCGATGAACTTTGATTTGAAAGATTTGTAGATGATATGATTGGTGGAAGAGTATCAAATGTTGGCTGCATTGTTGCAGGAGATAATTCAGTGCGTGATGATTCAAAAGGCAAGGCTCCTTGTGTACTATTCAAGGGTTGTGGCAAAGTTTCATTCAAATTAGTGTCTGGTGAAAGAGTCTCAATAGGTTGTGGAGTCATAACATTTGCTGATGTTCTCATTTGAATCCCATCGAAAGGAGACGCTGCACTCTGATTAAGATTTATTTGGACATTCTCTGTCGGAAGAAGTGGATTGAATGTTTCCTGAGTGACAAGGACTGCCGGTTCTGTTGGAAATACATCTTGACTTACACTCGATTGAGAAAGATTTGGTTCAGATGCTAAAGCGGCATTGGGTTCATCCGATGGCGTTAGTGTGGAAACAAGTGTATCATTAGTTGTTTGAGCTGTGTTTTGCAGTTGTGGTCTAATTAGTGACTCGGTTGCGAAATTTGTTGGTGTAGTATTCGATGTAAGTAGTAAATTATCTTCCGAAAATATCAATGTAGACAGAGTTATTGGAAGTGCACGGTCAGTTTGTTGAACAGTCTCTGATACTGATTCTGTATGAAGCAAAGCAGTCGATATATGACTTTCTATCTCATTCGAAAAGGACGATAAGTTTGAATTCGAAAAATTTGCCATCAATAAAGGTAATCCTGTCATTTCCGACATAAGAGAAGTAACAGTTTCTGAAGTATTAATGGATAATGTTAGGTTTTGATTCGAAAGGCTCGGGGAAGCCAGCTCTAATGAAACATTAGAAGCCGTTTGCTGACTGAGTTCAGAATGTAAACTTGTAGGTTCAACAGTGAATGTTGTTTGCATTAACGTATCATTGGCAGAAGGCAACAAATTTTGATATGTCAAGTTTGATATCAAGGTATCGACTACTAATGGGAGAATAACTAAAGTTGTATTTAATGAATCGCTTATATTAAGTCGCTCATTATCAGTAGAATTCATGAATGATAACATAGTGGCATCAAAATTTTCAACAATAGTATTATTCGAAGAGTTGCTGATCTCATAAGTATTCGGGACGGACATAGAAAAGTCTCTCACAGGTTGCACAGCAACAGTTGTATTCCAAATTAAAAACATACTAGTTGTATTAGTATCAATAATAGCAGAGGAATTTAATGAACCTATATCATTTAATAATGAAGATTCGTTCAGTTGATTTAACTGAATACTGTTATTTAAATTAATTAATGTTGAAATTATTATATTTGATGTAATATTATTCTCAATTGAGCTTTTACTACTGTTAACATTTGTTATTGCTGTTGTATTTTCTAATAGATCGTAGCTAACCGAATCGAATGAATTGGATAAATTGATAGCATCATTTGAAACTAATGACGAATTATAGAGCATTTCCGTTTGATGTATGGATGGTTGTGCATTTACAGAACTATCGTTGGATGTATTATATAAAATCGTTGCTAGGTTCATTGTCCTTGGCGAATTATTATGTGATATTGTTGTATTCATTGTATTTAAAATATCTTCTACTGCATATGCACCATTAATAGATGTTTCATTAGTAGATATATTTCGAATGTCAGTAGAATCGAGATGATTTGATGAGGGAAGAACAATTTCTGTTGCATTGTTAGAAGAGAATACTATAGTATCGTTAGTATTGACACCATTTATGAAACGAGTTATTGAACTGGTCAACTCACTGAAATTTGAATTTAATGGCACGTTTTCAACAGAGTTGTTGCTATTTGATGACTGTGCTTCAGTATTTAATCGAATAGTTAAAATGAATATAAATAAAAGTTGTTTCTTATTCCAATTTAAGAAACTTAACTCCATCTTAATTGCAGATATACGTACACTTTCATAAAGAACAAAAATAGTGTTTCTTGTTAATAACAAATGGCCAGAATAATGAATAATATTTATTCGATCTTCATGTTTCTCTCATCACTCTATATATTTTTTTTTGTGCTCGATAACATGCATGAGAAGTAGATGAAAGCTATTCAATAGAACAACAACATGAAATTAATTTTCCATTTAGAATCAATTTCATATTACTTGTATATGTATATGTATATGTGTATGACTGATCTATATTTACGCAGATAAATGCACTATACATCCTACATATTATATGTTGATGGAGAAAAATCGATTATGAAAATGAGTTCTGACCCATAAACGTATTCTTATTCGATATGTATTTAAAAATAGATTATTCTGATATTAGATTTTCTTTTCAATAAAAGTTTCCGGTTATTTTGCGATGAAATGTATGTTACATAAGACTTAGATTGTTTTGAATTGATGAAAATAAAAAGAGAATAAAAGAAATCCTGCACGAACTCTCACTACTTCACAAATTTATTAAAGAACATAATTCAATGTAAATTATAAATAATTCAAGTTTTACTACAAGCTATCTAAAATCTTTTTTATATTAGAATAACATCACGTTAACTATCAAAAACTATTAATTCTTAACAGAAACCGTCATCAGGATAGAGCAAAATAGTTTGTCCTGATAACATTTTTTTATAAAAAAAGTCATTTGAAATCGTTTCCTAAATGCAAACATGAATCTTTTACAATATGTGTCAGCTACTTGATTCTACCAACTAGTGACGATTTCATGTTTTCGATCGGTTTCATTAGAACTTGTGTATATGATACTTACTCTAATTTATCATCGTTCAATACGAACTCTTTCGATTTCGAAGAGATTGAACATCTCTTTTCAAATTTTAAGTACGTTAAGCAAATAATAATAAAATGAATCTCGATCTGCTGTTAAATGATGATGTCCACTCATAAAGAATTCATGTTTTCATTGACAGATATCTTATTTTTGTATGAATATGCTACTAGTGTCATGCATCCATGCTAAGAAAGGCAAGATATTAGACTAGAAAAGAAAAATTTCATCAAGCATAAATAAAAATGACACTGCTTTTACTCAATTATAATATGATTTTTTAATCGTCCGGCTTTTTTTGCTTTTTTATTATCAAGATTTTGTTTTTAATTCTCTCTAATCGATTAAAAAGATTTGTCAGTTTTTATTAATTAAAATTTATCAATGAATTTTAATCGATAAAAATAAATTAGGAAAATGCTAAAATAGAGAAATCGGTTTATAAAAGATTTATGATCGTTTTTATACATGGGTAATATTCTTTTGAAATTATATAAACAAAGTATAAGCACTGAATATAAACATAATAAAAATTTTTCGTTATGATACCAACCCATTCTATAGTTGATCTCAGTTTACATGCCCTGGTCCGACTCTGAGAGCAGGACAAGACGAAAAAAAACTGCTCTGCGACGATCTCTGATTCTCAGTGATCCATTTCATAAAATAGATTATTACTTCAAAAATTGTTTCTAATTTACTAATACATTGGATCTTCATTAGATCTTCTATTCTTAGTCATTACATTTATATTGAACTGAACGAACAAGTTTCATTTATTTATAAAGATCAAAAATAATTACTGTTCTACTTCATAATAAACAAAAAAATAAATTGATCTATTTTTTTTTAGTTTGGTACAACATCAGGTACATGAAAAATATGATAGTAAGGTGCAGGTGGAAGACCATGCTGTCGATTACATTCAATACATATTGCACCGGTTGTATCTATTGAACAAGTAGTAGCCGATGTATCAACAGATTCAAGATAAACACCGGTATGATTAGATGATATAGTTTCATAAGAACGACTACTAGATGTTGACAAATCAAACATTGAATCGATCGATGTCGGCGGTTGTGTTGATTTTAAATTATGATTATTATGTGATTGTTTTTGTTTGCGAGATGATAACAACCAAATAAGTGTTATTATAAATAGAAGAATAGCAACAATGACACTTGCACTTGTAAATAAAATTAAACGAGAACTAGTAGTCATTGTTTGTTGATATTGTTGTTGAATTGACGAACAAGTTAATTGAGATACTATTTTTAAATCAAATAGATCTGATGGTGGCATTGGTGGAGGTGGAAGAGTGAAAAGAGGTGGTGGTGGTAGAAATCGAGGCATCATTTTTTATATAATCAACAATAACAATAACGTAATATTTATAGTTCAGATATGTATCAAGCTGGTACATTATCGCTTATAGAGTGTGATCTATGCATAATATATTTGTCACTAATTAGATTCACCTACCTATCAATAATACATTCATAAAATGAATGATTCTATCAATTACAGCGAGAATGAACAACAGCTGTAGAATAACTCGACATGGAAAAATAATAATCTCAATTACTTTCTTGCAAATTTTTTTTTGTTCAAGTTAAGTAACTATACTGTCAAAGTTGTTCAATTCCATATACAAATCAGTTTTTTTTTCTACAGTATGCAACATTGAGATACTTCATTTAACCATGTTACCTTTCATATTTGTCATTCGAATAATATATCATACATTTGATCAATCAACAATTTCATCATCTTTCTACTTCTTCCTTTTTTTCTTCAATCCACAGGACATGATTCACTAACGAAAACATTATAAAAGAAAAAGTACGAATCAATTCATGTTATTTTTCTTTTCAACAAGTTCTCATAGCCTCTTTCTATCTGTATTAAAATATAAGCTCAAAATCCATTAATCAATCAATCAATCAACCAATCAATCAATCACTCGAATTTGTGTATTTTTTATATTTTTCTTGCTATTGTAAACAATAAAGAAAAAAAAATTAAAAGAATTACACGTAGATAGACGTACAAAAATCAGATCAGATGTATTTGATGGAAGAGCGTGTGAAGTAGAAGGAGAGAGAGAGAGAGAGAGACGGAGAATCAAGAAAACGAACGACACACGACAACGTATCGACGGAGATGTTTGACTTTGAGTGAGACGAGAGAATGCAAATTTTTTCTCTCTGTCTCTCTTCAATTGTTCTGAGAGAAAATACGTACGTATGTGTCGTGTTGTTGCCATTACTGCTTGTCTTTCTTTAAAACAATCATTACACAAAGGTGCCAACTACTACATCGAACTTATTCATTTCGTTTGTTTGTTATCGTTTTCTCATCATCATTTATGTTAATATTCATACTTATCTATTCAATCAATTATTGTTTTTCTTCAATTTAAAATACACGAAAAAAACAAATAATAAAAAAGATTAACAAAATAAGATTTAATATTTATCAAAAAGAATGCCTAACAATTGTTCAACACTTATTCAACGCAAACAGAATATTCTTCATAAAATTTTACGAAGTAGTAGTGATGGTAAAATTCAAAATGGTAAGAATAAATCTAATTTATTCGTTCTAGTTACTTTTAAATAATAATGAAAAAATTGTTTGTTGAAACCCTATATAGTAAAAAATAAGACCATCATTATGATTATCATATTCAGTGAAAGGTTATTGGAAATTAGAATATTTTCTTTTTGTTTTTACCTATAGAAATATAAATCTTTAAATTTTATACGAATGCACATGTACACAGTAGGTAATTTGTTCTAGGTTTTTCTTTTTTTTTTCATACAATTATATATATTGAAAAAATACGCAATCATTTTCAATTGAACTATACCGATGAAAAAAAAATATAAACCAGATGCACCGAGAAAAAAAACTACCTTATAACAAAGATTATTCTTTCATTCGTACATCAATTGTTAAAAGAAAAAAATAATAGAGAAAGTAAAAAGAAGATGAATCCTTCAAACTGCATATATATTACATCTATGTTCATGAAATTTTATTATTGTACAAACGCACATGTTTCTTCTGAGTTGTTGATGTTATTCTCTCATTTGAAATAAAAAATTATATGTAGTATTGAAAAAAAAATCCGTCAAAAAGAAAAACAATAATTATTTCAATCAATGAGAAGTTATTTTATTGATTATAATAATTTATATCAAAAAATTTAATTAACTGAACTAGATTAAAGTATTTTTATTTTTAAAAGAATAAAAATCGTTTATTTATTTATATTTTGTAAGTATTAATTTAATATTTCTAAATGTAAAATAGATTACTAATATTTTAAAATCAATAAATAAAACTCTAATCGTTTTATTTTAAGCTATAACTGAAACTACTGCTGAATTATGTGTAGCTGGTACTCGAAAAACTCCTGCTTATTCTCCTACTTCAACAAATCATTTAACAGCATCATCAACTACTCGTCGATTGAATACATTTAATACAAATCGTATTCAACCATCTTCAAATCATTTTTATGATACACATTTACCATCTATACGAGATACGAATGATAATGTTGAACGACAACAAAATCAAATTTTTGATGAACTTCATGATCGTCCTCATTCGAAAAAACCATCAATGAATACTAGTCCAAAAAGTGTGGGTCGTCCTCCATCTACTTCAATTTCATCGATTTTTAATGCGCTTACAAAGCGATCAACAGAAAATTTTATGAGTACATATGGTGATTTTGAAGAAGTTGTCAATCCAAGTGCAGTACCAACTAGTCGTCGATCACAACAATCACATAAAGGAACTGCAACAAAACAAACTATCGTACCTCAAAAACAAACGAGTGATAATGTAGGTGATATTCGTTTTTCAAATAGTTCAGGTGATATAAATCAACAACGAACATTAGGGACATCAGCTCGACATCGAACAAATATACCACAAATACATGTTGAACCTTCTCTTACACCAGAAACAACAACTAAAGAACGAACTAATACTGGTAAATTTATTTGTATAAATTAATTTTATTCGAAAAGACTTTTCATTTCAATAAATTAAATTTTTTCTTTTTTGTTATAGGTCAACATTATCAACGTCGTACACATCATACTGTCAAAACTCCTATGAAACAAAAAATTGATAAATATCGTCGTCGTTCGGAAGAAGCTACACAAGCAACGAATGGAAATACACTAATGAACGCAACTAATAATGGTTTATCTGCTACTGTTCCTTCTTTAACTCCTTCACCATTAGCTCGTTCAAAACAACCACCACCATCTCCAACAACAGTTCGTCGTGTATCATCAGATGCCGAACTAGAAGCTCGTCTCGAAGTTCTTCGTTTATCAATGGATACAAATTTTATTCATACTGATCAACAACCACAAAGTCAATCACATCAATATTCTAATAATCGTAATAAATCTTCATATTTATCTAATACTCATCAACAAATAACTCCAAAAACATCGACATCAAATCCTCCAACACCACCTGTTCGATTTCGTCGAAATCATGGACCTACACAACCAACATCTTCAGGAAATTCTTCTCGACAGCAAAATGTTAATAATATAAATAATCGACCTACACAACAACAACAACAACGTTCAATTAAACAATTAACAAAATCTAGTTCAGGAAATCTTTATTTAGCATTTATAGCATCACGTCATTTTTCAACAATAGAAGATAGTCTATTTGAATGTAATATTGATCATCAAAAATTATTAAATATATTCACTTGGCTTAAAGATGTTGAAGATCATCGTCATGAACAATTAGATCATGAACAATTATTAAATGAACAAAATCAACGTATGCTTGATCACGAAGAAAATTTATCATTATATTCAGAAATACAATTTGCTGTTGATGATGTACCACCAAATACGACTGGTAAACTATGTGAAAAAATTGAAACAATACAATTTGAAAACTAATTGAAAGGAAAAAAAGCTGTGATATATATATATTTAGTATGAATGAATATTTGGTGCTTTTTTTTTCTTTATATTTGTTTATATTTGTTGAGAAAAACCTTTTTTTTTTACAATCATATATTATTTTTTTTGTTTGTGATAAAAAAAGAACAAAATTTTTGTTTTTAATATTCAAAGAAAAATTTAAATATATTGAATCAGTATCTTGTATTTCATAGTCTTTTTT